TTATCTGTAGGTATATCTTTTCTCAATTAATAAACGTCGCGGATGGAAGGATTTAATTGGGACCTAAACCTTTGGATATAACTAAAAAAAAATTAGGAACTTTTATCAAGAACCAGACGGTCTGGTCCAATTCTTGATTCTTCATGCTAAAATGATCAGTTCTCAAATTTTGAACAATTTCCACCTATAGTTAATTCTTAATTTCTTTTTATTAAATATTACGAATCAAATTATTGATTTCTTTATTTATTTGATTATTTTCATTTATTATAATTTAAAGGTTTAGAAGCCTTGTACAGAATTTTGTTTACTAGGGTTAAAATCATATTTGTGTATTTCTTTTCTTGAAAATAATTATCTCAAAATAATTTAACATGTATTTCAATGAAATCAAAATTTAATATTCACAAATCTGAATCCTCCTCATCTAAGTCACTCGTGACATTGTAATACTCGACAAGTTGATAAAGCCAAAGTTGACAGTCAACTCTAGCGAATCGTAACAATGAAATGCGTTTATCTTGTAAAAGTCTATTTTCCTCTGTTATGTATTTGATGTAATTGGCAAATCTGTGAACAAAAGAGACTAAAATTAAAATATTGTAAAAGTCAAGGAATAATGTGCAAATTGTAGAAATTGTGTTATATTAGGTCTAGGGTTCGAGAATGGAAAAGAAGGAAAAACGGCGCAGCAATTTCGCTAGATGTCGCTATGACTTGGCTCAAGCGTCAGAAACAGCAACACTGTCGTTAGCCTGTCGCTAGGGCTTCGCTCGAGTGACACACTGTTGCTCGCCTGTTGTCCAACTCTCTCTCAAGCGACAGGGTTATCTGGAGAATTTTTAATTCGATTTTTAAAGGTTTTTTATCCGATTCATCCATTCCTTAACCTACATATAAATAATAGAATGCCTCTGAACGTTTTTTTCCTAAGGTTGAACATTGAGAAAAACACATTCTCTTCATCTTATTTTCATCAATTTAGTTTTCAGCCTTTGATCTGTCATGGTTCTTGGTGGTGAAAACATAAAATCCACAATCTAAATACCAAACTGCTACTTTCTACATATCTGTCAGAATTCTGAAGATCAAGGGAAGGTGACTTGAGTTCCAGTCGTTGAAGAACGCTAAGTTCTTCGTTAATCCACACGAGATAGACGAATTCACAAGCTGAGAGTTGATGCAGGAAAGCGCAATCCATGAGAGATTTGAAAACTGCAGCTCGGAGTTGGTGCAAGAGCACGAAATCTATGAGAGCCGTGGAAATTACAGTTAGAAGGTCAGAAAGTACTAGTTGTAGTCGAGACGACGGATTGTAAGTTTCAATTTGTTTATAGTGGATTGTTGATTGGCAAAGTGTTGGGAGTTTTTATCTAGTTGAGATTTCTCTGTGATCATTTCTTGGGTCTGTTATTGCTTTCATATAACTGCGATATTTCAACATAGGAAATTGGACTATTTGATTAATCATTTAAAGATAATTAATAGTGACTTGTTGCTAATTAATTATTAAGTTTTTAATTCCGCATAATGACCTATTCACCCCTCCTTTAGGTATAGTTTGGGTCGAATTTCGTATTTTCTTTCTCAAATCTGAGACTTTATCATTGTTGGCAAACCTCTTAGAACGTGTTAATAAGACCACATAGGCTGTGGCTAAAGTTTTTGTACTTCAATTTGAGAATAGTTAGATGATACAATTGAACGAGGCTATACCTATATTTGATAAGCTTAATGCACAGTGAGCTACATTCACTATGGTGTTCCTAGTGCTCTTAACCCCTTTTTTTATTTACCTATTTTTCTTTTCTTTTCTATTGTGGTCTTTTTATTTTATCTATTTTCTTTTCATTTTTATTTCAGTGTAGAATCTCACATTGTCCGTAAAAAAAAGGAAAAAAAAGAATGTAGCATATACGTGACTTGTGCAAATTCCTATCGAGTCTTGATATGAGCAAGTCATAACACGACGTAAAATCAAACAATATCTGATATGTTTTGATTGATCGTTACACCTTATTTCCTCCCATTGCTCTTCATAGTACAACAATTGAATGCGATCCTAATTATCCAATCAATAAGTATTTACTCTCCTTAGTGAAAGCAAAAATCATGAAAACAAGACTCAAACACTTCAAAGTTCAAACAACACAACCAATTAATATAACCTAAGATTAACAATAAAAGTAGAACATTTTCTTTACCTTATTCGAAATTCCCAAATCGTAGGAAAAGGAAAAAAAAAACTTTATTTTTTAAATAAATAAATAAATATCCTATTTTTTTCCCGATTAAAAAAAAAAGTTATTTATACTGGAACTTTACTTACAAATTCCTCTAGTTTTGTCAGTCTCAATGTGCTTAGAATTCATAACTTATAGAAAATGTATCAAAATTGTTGATTTGACCAAAATAAATAACAATACAAATAATATAAAAACTAAAATATTTTGCACGGATTTCATCTGAAATTATGTGTGCTCCACACTTTTCCCAAACTTGTTACTCTGGCGATCCAAAAATTAAAGGTTTAGAACCTATTTGCACTTTTTCAAAAGATTAGGAACCCCATGCAACTTTCTGTATTTGAAATTTTTTTTTTTTTTTTAAACATAATCATAAATTCAGCCTCACCTGACGAGATTAGGATCGCAACAAGCCACAAATTAATGTAGCCACCTCAAAAGTCTAGTCGAACCAGGCTTGTAAGCAAGCTTTGTGAAATATTAGTGGGGTAAATTTCATGTCCTCCCTGATGTGGATGGTCGGACCAGGCTTATAAGCAAGCTTTGTGAAATATTAGTGAGGTAAATTTTGTGTCCTCCCTGACGTGGATGGTGTTCCGGCTGAACCGATCAGTGTTTGCTACCTACAAAATGAGGTCGGGGCTCCCTCCCCCGTTATACCTCCGATGTGAGAATTAGTATACGGTTTAAGAAAATAGAAAGAGAATGTATTGAAATTCAAATAATTCGGGTTTCAAGAAACAATACATTTTCCCACATTGGGGTATTTATAGGCACCTAATGGCACGCCCATGTTCTATGATTAATTGTGTCACGTGTCCCACGCATGCCTTCTCACTCCCCCACGTTCTATAGCGTCAACCCCCACTCGTCTAGCGATTGGTTATGCCCACGTTTGTTGTTGGGTGGTTTTCGTCTATCTCATGGTCATTTGTTTGGTTAAGTATAGTGGGGGTCGACGACCTCGTAATGGGCCTCAGGGGAGTCGACGTCTTGAATGTGCACATTAAGTAGCCAACTATCGTGGAGAATTGTTAACACCGTCTTATATCACTTTGTAAGCATCTTAGCGGGGGTCAACTTGTTCCTATCAACGCTACTAATGCTTAATTTCGCTCACTTAGTCACGCTTAAAATCATTTTTTAAGTAGATAAAGTCAAAATTATTGCATTTTGTTTATTTTAAATCACAAAAAGCAGGGTACGTGTTGAGAAAAATCACATGAAAAAATCCAAACCAAAGCCAACCAAGTGATGTGTGGCTCTCAACATGCCTCCTCATACCACTCTTCCATACACCACAAACCACAAGAAAATCAAATCTTCAACACAAATAACCTCAAAATATTTTCTTCAAACACAAAAATATTTCCTCTGTATCTACTTCTTGTGGTTCCAATGGCTGCTACAATTTCTGCTACTGGATTCAAAGGGGGTCTTTCTTCTTCTTTCCATGGAACCTGGGGAACTTCCATTGCCGGTGAAGCCATCGTGGCGCCGCCGACCAACTTTCGGGTTGCACGGCCCATCCGATCACGGCCTATGATGAAAAATGTTAATGAAGGAAAGGGTCTTTTTGCTCCAATTGTTGTAATCACAAGGAACATTATAGGCAAGAAGAGGTTCAATCAGCTCAGAGGCAAAGCCATTGCTTTACACTCACAGGTATTTGTATTAAGGGTTGAAGTCTGTACTTGTAGATTCTACTTCACTAAATTATATACAAAGATGATGATGTGGCGTCGACCAAGTATCTTTAATTTCTTCATGCTCGTTCAAAGATCGAGTATGCTAACACTTTCATCTGCATTGAAATGTGTAGGTAATCACTGAGTTTTGCAAATCAATAGGAGCAG